ATTTTAATTATGATTGGCATCTTTTTCAAATTTTAATTAATTGATTAATTTGTCATTTTGTGATGATAATGATATACGCAGTTGTTCATGGATCAAATGGATCTCCATTTCCTACATCGGAATACGAGCACTCATCCATTCCAGCTACAGTGAAGAAGCTCTTCAACCTCTCCTCACCCTTTCTCACTAAGAGAGACGAGTGGGCTGCTTCTTTTGAACATATTGTCCAAACTCGGACACAACCCAGATCTGATTGCCCAGGTTTATATGTTATATACTTCAATTTCATCTTTGAAAATATAGAAGGACAAAAAAGAAAAACAAATCATTTTTGTTTCGTTGCTAATTATGTATGGAAAGTTTTTATTGATTGATTGATTCAAACAGAGCAACTGCCTACTCCGGTGAAGATCCGGTCAGGTGACGCCAACGAAACTGCCAAGATTAGTGAGTTCCAGCATGAGCTGCTGCAGCTGGCAGCAGTGCTGAAGGGAGATAATATCCTCACGAGTTACCCGGAAAAGATAGGGTTGGAAATGAACGTAAAGGAAGCGAAAGGGTACATGGAAGATGCAGTAAAGCGTTTCTTTGAAGCGGGACGTTATGCTAATAAAATGGGAGTTGATGGAGAACAAATTGTCCAGATGAAACCTTCCTTAACTACAAGATCACCTAAACCTTCAACTCAGAACCCTTGACGCAAAGATCCACTAAGGCTTAGTTTGTGCCAACATATGCAATTCTCAATGCTCTTAATAATCATCAAGTGAATCAAAGCATTATGCATGTATGTCCTTTGTGCATATACCTCAAATGTTAGAGATGCATGTGCAAAAGAATGTAGTCCTTTCTTGTTCCATGGGACGTGTCAATGTGGGAAAATCTTTAAAGGCCAGAGAAACATGAGAAAATCCTTTATTTAACTTGAAAAAATGCAATTTGGTTACATCACCAAATTTAGTCCCTCAACTTTCAGTTTTGGATCAGAATAGTCCTTAAACTTCAGGAAATACTAAAATGATCCTGAACATTTATATTTGGGCACCTTTTTGTCCTTCTCCGTTAAATGCTGATGTGCACTGCTAAGTCAGTCAATTTTTTTAAAAAAATGAAAAATTATTTAGAAGTTTTAGATAGTGATATAAAAATAATTTTTTATACACTTTTTACATGTTATTTAGTAAGTGAATACAGTTAATATCATAAATTTTAAATAAATTAAAAAAATTAATAATTTAATTAACATATAAAATTATATTAAAAATAATATAAAAATTATTTTAAAATCATTTTTAAAAATTTTAAAGTCTTAATTTGATAACACGAATTCCACGTAAGCTAATTTAGCTTAGGTGGACATGTTGACCATTGAAACAAGTTTATAGGGATGTGTTTGAGATTGCAGTTGACAGTTTTTTGTGTAGTTATATAATATTTTTAAATACGTGTTTGATAATTTTTTTAAAAATTATTTTTTTTAAGCTACAAAAATTATAATAAATTTACAATAATTTTATATAGTTAAGATTTAAATGGGTTTAATATGAATTTACTCAATTTTATATTATTTCTAATATTTGTAT